AGACAAATTTCCCATCTGCTACATCCAGATCTTCCAGCTTTATTATGTCCTGAATATGTCAAGGGACTAACATCTCGCACTGATGTGGGTAGAGCACAGTTCATGTAGGAGATGAGGGGAACGTACAATGCCAGTGCTAATTCATTTTAGAGGACGGATCCTATTGGTGGTGAGTGCCAGGGAAGCCTCTTTGATGTTTGTCCAACTGCTCAAGAGGAGAAAGAGATATCTGCTCCAATCGCAGACTAAGAGTGTGGCTAATGTAGTTTTCGGCTGAGATTAAAAATTATATAATAAATCACATTAAATAGGGCACTGCAGAAGTCTCTGTATTGTTAAGAGAAGCTCTGAGATGTAAAAACAGCTGCAGATGTAGACCGTCTCCACAGCAACACATGCTTTAGATAATTACTCAAAAACAGTCAGACGAATTAAAACACTGGGTTGATTTAGACTCATGTTAATAAAATAAAATAAAATAAAATAAAATTAGCCTATATTAGCCTATTTTTATTAGCCTATTTAGCCTATATAAAAATTTAATAATTAAAAAATTACATTCATTAAATTTTATTTTAAATAATCACTAAAGCTCTAATAAAATAATTTATTTAAATTAAAACATAAATATCAAAATAAAGAAAAAATACTATTGAAAATAAAAATTACTTTTCGATCTTTATAAAAACTCAAAACTCATTTAATTTGAATTAAAATTACATTCAATTACAGTTTAATCTAACTTAAGTTAAAAGTTACCAGTTTAATCTAGTCTAAATAATCTAAATACTAAATAGAATAAAAAATGCAATCAGATAATTGATAATAAACTGATAATTTTTTTTAAGAAGAAGAAGAAGAAGAAGAAGAAGGTTATTATTATTATTACTATTATCACTATCATTATCATTAAATTGCCAAAGAGGTAGCATAAACGTATTTATACAAAGATAATTTCAACACTTGTACAATTTTTCCAGTTTTTATTAACAACAACAACAATAATAATAATAATAATATATATATTTTTTTTTATTAATTATTATTATTCAATTTCCAAAGAGGTAGCATAAACGTATTTACAGAAAGATAATTTCAACACTTGTATAATTGTTAGTTTTTCTTCTTCTTCTTGTTATTGTTAATAATAATAATATCATTAATAATATTATTATTACTATTAATAAAACATGATATATTATATATTAACAGTACCCATGATAACTTTTCTGTGTTAATTAAATATTTTATCATTGGTATTTTATCAAACCCATGGTTATTAATAATAATAATACAATTAATATTTGTATCATATTTTTAAAACACACACACAACCGGTTTCTAGACTAAAGAGACCCACCCACACTGAGTTTGCCACCATCATGTCACATTAACAAGCAAGCAGGTTGTCTATGAAAGCAGAAGCATGCTGCTACTAAAAGCACAGAAGCCTCGGTTCACCTCAAACCCTGAGCTGAATGCAAAATTTCCCGAATGCGGGTCGGGCTCCACGAAACCTCTCTGAGGACGCGTGAGCTGAACTGGTTTCCAAGTAGATGGCTAATTACTCTCAACCCAATCCAGTCCCAATGAGATCCCATTATCTGCCCAGCACACTTCAAAGCGGCTCGGAAAAGAGTGGGAAAATTGACAGGCATGCTGTGAATCAATGGACATTTATCTGCTCTTTTTGACCTCTATCTATGCTTCTAGTCAGAACAACTATTTTTATTTCCTACGTTTCCTTTGCGACCTGTGGTTATTTGTAAAATGTTTGGAAATTTTGTGCTACCGTTTCCTCCTAGTCACAGATGCACAGACCTGACTTTTGACCAAATAATGCGGTGTAAGAACTAGTTTTCAGATTGCTCTAAATGCCAATTCATAAAATCGTCAAGTTTCTCCCGGTTTAGACTGAAAGCATGACAAAATGTTTTCTGTGTGCATAAAACACCCTGACAGAACCTCTTCCCCATCGACTGCTGTCTGAAGATGAGGAATGTTCTCTAAATAAGATATTTTACTCTGTGGGCTCAGAGATCTCCTTAGACAACGTTTGAAATGAGTCCCAATTATATCTGCTTTTGATCCAAACAGCCAGAGGAAAACAAAACTCTTGCAACTGCATAAATACATTCAGATTGAACTGCACGCAGAAATGTCTGATTAGATTCCTGATTTGATTTAGACTGTTTTGTGCCAATTTACATGGTCATGTGATCTAAATATGTTTAAACATATGGTTAAGAAATATAAAAAACGTAAAAAGGAATAGCTCACTCAAAAATAAACATTCGGTTGTGCCAATATATATTCAACATCAGGTTGAATGTACGTGTCTTCACATGAAATATAGATATGTGATAAACTACTTTTGTTTGTTTGTTTTTGTTTTTGAGCTTGACACGCAAGGTCACTATAAAAATATAGATAAAATCAAATATTAAATATATTGGGGGTGAGTGAATAATGACAGAATTTTCATTTTTGGTTGAACTATTCATATAAATATAAAATACAAAAATTATTGAATATATCAATATAAAAAAGACCAGATTAATAATAATAATGGATACAAGCTCAATTTGCTAGCTCGTCTAAAATACTAGCATTTCCCTTGTCAATACATCACATTCCATTACAAAGTGTATAAAAGCCTAATGTTATATGGGCCTTGAATAAGCCTTAAACAATCAAAGTCAGGAGTGTTAGCATGCACTGCTACTGTAGCTTCCCCCTCAGAATAGTTTAACAAAGGATGAACATCATGTTCCCAGCGCAGTCAATTCCCAGCAGGGGAAGAGTGCCATCTTTGGGTAATGATAGAGTGAATCTGCCTTACCACACTCTCAAACAGTATATTAATTTAAAGCTGAAATGTGTACTTTTATGTAAAGAAAAAAACCTTAATGCTATTCCAGTTGAAAAACTATAAATAAGACACTAAAACTTTGTGGTGTTTTGAAAACACTACTCTGTTTGTTTGAGAATTCTGCCCAGCCTGTCATAGCAACAGTGGCTTAGCCAATGACGTGAGTTTGGGGCGGAGCCATCGGTTTGTTTGACCAATGACAGACAGAGGCAGTGCTCTAAAAACCATCTTGAGAACAGTCATTATTTTTGCCTCATTCAGCACTGCTAGTGGCAAAAAAATGACAGAAAAACGTAAGATGCTTTAAATTTAATAACTTAGTAACTGATAATGAATTGTTTGAATGTTTTTACTTCATTAATTCATGTTAAACTCTCTGATCAGGATACAGGCCAACAGAGTAATGTTTTAAATGTGATAAACATCCTGTGGCGGCATTATAATCATACACAAGTCCCTCAGTTTCACAGTATCAAAACCTCATTTGAACAGCTTACGGCGCTGAGCCCATCTACTGGTCTATCAAACATACAAAGACCAAAGAACACAGCAGGGTGAGTGTTTGATCGAGAAGTTGGACGAAATAAATGCTTTCTTTCCCCCTGGTGCTTCAAAATACAGACCATACATAAAAGTGAAGAGAAGTTACCTAACTAGAGTTTAGATGGTAGCCTCCGCAGGGCCTGTGTCAAAAGGCCCTTGGTGTTGAGCACCACATTAAAGTATATCAGACGATTGCGTCCATACCAATTACTCGCGATGACAGTAGTGGGCTCATTATCCCGAGGAGGATTCCTCTTGAGTTAGTGAACTCAAAGCAGCTGGGTTTAAGGTCAAGGAGATCTGTGGCAGATTAGAGAGGGACCAGAATGGTCCAATTAGCAATTCTGAGTGCTACAGATGTCTTTATCTGGATGGAGAACATCTAAGTGGCAATTTTCTGAATGAATGTGCTATTTTTCACCAAGGATTTGAAAACCTGAGTGAATGTGAGGACTCAGTATGACACCCGTGAAACAGCAGAGGTCTGCAGGCTCAACCGATGAAAAACATCATAGCTGTCAAATTTCAACTAATAGACCGACTTTTCAGACATTTTAGACCATTTTATAGGATTTCGCCAGAGCTGAGGTGCCAAAATTAAGATTTATGCTAGTATTGCATCAATTTCAGTCGACACAATAAGTCAATAATTATTTTGATGTTGCAGCAGATAACCGATAAGTGGCCTACAATCATTTTTTTAAATAGAAAAAAGGTGTGTAAATCAGTAATTTTATATGTTATGTAAATTTAGGCATCACAACATTATAACTGAAAGTATGTTAAACAGGTTTTTATTTTGAGAAGACTAAAGATTATAGTCAACATTTTTATTAAATTATTAATAACAAAGTCAAATATACATATATATATACAATATTATATTGTGCAATATGAACAATAGATAAATTAATTTTGAGATTTGGTAAACATTACATTAAAATTATTAGCATCATTAAAGGTGAAGATTACAAAAGATTAGAATTACATGTAAAGATTCAAATTAAATTACAAAATCCCTAATTAATTAATAATCAACATATACTTAAACATGCACCAATATTAAAATTCAAGCCAATTTTGATAAGCCGATAATAATTATTGTCATGGCCAATAACCGTTAAATGACCTATTTTAAAAATATAAGCTATTTTATCTAAATAAATTTAAACTAAAAGCAGTCATTTTAAATGCTACAAGTGACTTTTGGCATCACAATGTGATCATGTACAGTATGATAAATGGATATTTATTTTGAGACTTGCCAAACATTACATTTACCAATGCTATTAAATTATTAGTGTTTTTAAAGATGTCTAGACTTAAAGACTTTAAGTGATATTAGAAGATGGCCACATCATTGATACCAATAAATTCAAAAGATCTCTAATATCGCCTGTTAACCGATATATTGTGCATCCCTAACTGTATAGCATCCCTACTTTGCACCACACCACAACTACACACAATACAATAAAACGCAAAAAAATTTGTTTTTTCAGTCACTTGGTTTCTACAGTCTTGTGGCTCTGCCCACAGCGAAAGGTCACATAGCACGAAATACGACTTAAATGCGGCTACTCACAGAACTGACACAATGTCCCCTCGGTGTACTTGGTAGTTCCTCACACTCCAGCGGTTGAGCAGCACAACATCAGGTGACGACTCTCCATCTGGGTTTAAGGACGGCTGGGAAAGATTCAAACCACATGAGTCAACATGCTTCATAAATTCTAGACTCTGGAAAAGTTAGAGAAGACTTTTAGGTTTTGTCAGTTTTTCTTTTTGGTCTGTGATTTATTGCTTTAATCCTCCATACCACAAAAACTTCCCAAACTACTAAGCCAACTCTAAGAATAAACTCAGCAACTTTGCTTTAATTTTGTTCTGGAAAAGAGCCTCTGTTCTTCATTCAGCCTTTTGACTGACGGCATCCTAAGGGTAAAAATAACATCTACAAGTTAACTTCAAAACAGAATTTTTTTTAGACTATTTGTTTTGCTCTTAACTCTTTTGTGGTGGTATCTCAAACAACTTGTGTGTGACGAACTTTCTCAAGCATGCAAGTCGTCGACTGACTTGATACACGGGCCTCCAATGAATCATTAAGGGAGATCTCGATGAGCCATTTCACGCTTGCTGGGATAATTGACAGAAATATCTCTTATCTGTCCTTCTAAAATAAATATCCCGACAAGCGTTCCCGCCTAGAGAATTTATCCGTCACAGCTGGGCGCTCTATCTTTTTTATTCAGACACATTTTCTCATTCTGCATTGGCGTCAGCTTTCAGCATTGTCCATGGAGTGACTTATTTGGATTCAAAGGCCGTGGATGAACCGGGAAAAGCCATTAGCAAATATATAACACTATAAGCCAAGACAGAAAACTGGACTCCGAAAGGAAAACAACAACACCGTTTTGGTTAGTTAGTGTTCATTAGGTACATAATGAACCATTACTTCTGTTTGGCGAGGAAATGAGCATGGCGTATTCAGATGGTTTTCTCTCATTATTATTGGAGGTGTCTTTCATCATGGTCTTAGTGCTATTAGTGCAATGTTTAGCAAAGTTGGATTAATTTAAGCCGTAATGCAAAGTCCTAACATAAGTAAAAGGTTATTAATGTTTAAATAGAAGAGCTTGTAAAGGTAAAAACCTCTTTAACTATTTTTTAAGGCTGGGAAATATATTGAATATTTACAATATATTTGCAATTATTTTGACGGTAATAGAAAAATCAAGCAACATTGTGAATATGGTGATTTTAAGGTGCTTTTTATTGGCTATTAAGTTTACTAAACTGCCATTAAACTACACTGTAAAAAATAAATCTGTAAAATAACAGAAAAAGCACTGGCAGCTCATTAGTAGGACATTATCCATTTAGTTTACAGACCTTTCCGCTAACTCTAAAACACAACGCAATGCAGTGTAAAGTTCAAAATACAGGTAAAACAACTGTAAAAAAATAAAATAAATAAATATGGAAAATTCCTTCAAATTAATACAGTACAATGTTGATTCAAACCTCCATCACCCATATGAGCACCATGGCTTAACGTGCCTAAAATGTGTGCGAACCACTGCGCCACAGCTCCGACTTCTTGTTTGAAGAAAAATGCACATCTTTGCTAACTTTCAGCAAAACTAGACTAAACCAGATTATTCAAAACAACATTACCAAGTTTGATAACGCGTATAAAGGACATCCCACCTGCATCGAGGCACCTTCCACGCGTGCCACATAGGCAAGACGGTCTAAAACAGTCACTGTCACGGGGACAGCTACAAAGAAGCCACTAACAAAAGCTTTGAAGTATCTTCGCCCAAAGCCCGTCTGCGCCATCGCCTGAAGAGAGAGAGAATGAAAACAGAAATGACCTTGCCTTGTTCAAAGAGTTCAGCCAGGCAATTTAAACATCTTTTTCTGGTCTGGTAACATCTTATGAAGAAATAATTCAAACATTCAACAAAATATGGATGTCTTTGTTGTTTAAGTAGTAATTTGTAATTGAGAAGTAGTCTCTCCACAGAAAAAAGGCATGTTTTAAGGATATGTTGGATGATCTAAGCTCACAAAGAGAACAAAAGTATCAAAAGCTTAACTATATGCCTCTAAGTATGAACCACCTTGTTTTGAATCAAATCGCAAGGCACTAGTGAGGTCAAAAAGAAGAAAACACTCATAAAGCAGCCAATTTAATAATGAATTTAGTAATTGCACCTATCTGCGGCCATCTGCGGACCGTATTCGCAATGACAAAACTCTGTACACCCAACGCATTAGGGCAGAAAAACCCACTGAGGCATTGAAATTGAATCTGACAAGAGCACGCTCGCTCTAATACCATTAATTGCTAGTGTGATGCTTGATTTGGAGGTACACGGCGTGCAATTATGCTTCTCATTCATTTTACAGAGTTCACCACAGTAACAAAAAGACGAGGAACAGCTTGTACCATTTTCCCCAAAAAGCCCTCAAGTAAGTCTCCAGTAGCAACCTCGCAGAATTACTGGTAAGCACTTGAAGAAAGTCTTGAAGCCATTTGCTTGCAGGAGGCCATTCAAGAGGTTCAAAAATCAGAGACTACAACAACTTAGTTGAGGATCTGGGAGATGTCGGGTAAAAAAAAAAAGTGCTCAGCGAATCATAACGCAGTGCAGGATTTGTCAGGGTTGCACTGCTGTGAGCCAGATACGGCTCAAGCAGGGAAAATTACAAAAAACTTTTTTGTGGTCGCAAAGAGACACCTTCCTGACTCTCTGCTGCGTATGTAGGCTACCCGAAGCAACACTATCAATATAATACAAACACTGATTATTTCAATTTTGCACGAAACAGCATTTGCAAAGCACTTTACTTCTGTAATGAGACATAATCCCAAGTGAAAAGTGGGCAAGAGTAAAAAATAATTGCGTGATGAAGCATAAAAGAATCACGTTGTGAGATATAGTCACAATTACTGGATGTAAAATCGCAATTCTAAAAAAGTAAATCAAAATTACAACATTTCTACGTAGTCTATCGACACCTGTGGTTGAAACATAAAATTGCAGGATACTTGAGGAGGATGTGTTTGACTAGCTACACAAAGATCACTTATAATAAATAATAAGAAGTCCTACAAGATATGACTAAGCCATCATATATATATATATATATATATATTTTTTTTTTTTTTCCCTAAAAAACTGTTTATGTACAGACTCAATAATACGTTTCTAAAGCAAAATTAATTAATATCGTCAATATTATAAAAATGCCCAAAACTGCTTAAATATTTTTATTGATAACGAATAAATGAATTATTATTATATGAAAAATAATATTCAATAGCTTTTGACATATAGAATACTGTTCAAAAGTTCGGAGTCTATAAGAATTTTTAAAGTTCTTGAAAGATTTATTTGATTAACAAATACAGTAAAACTGTAATATTATGAAAATTTAAAATAACTGTTTTCTTTTTGGAAATGTAATGTATTCCTGTGATGAAAAGGCTGAATTTTCAGCATCATTACTTCAGTCTTCAGTATCACTTGATCCTTCAGAAATCATTCTAATATGCTGGTTTACTGCTGCTGCTCATGAAACATTTATTAGTATTAACACTGTTGAAAACAGTTTATACATTTTATGCTGCTTTATATTTTTGTAAAAACTTTTTTAAAGGTGTCTCTAATAAATAGAAAGGAAATCTTTTGTAACAATAAATTACATAAAAAATAAAAACAATAAATGTAACAAAAAGTCTTTACTGTCACTTTTGATAAATTTGCAAAGACACTTTTTCAAATGTGTTCCTGCTGAATAAGTATTATTTTCCTTCAAATAAACTTTTGAATGGTGCTGTATATATAAGTGTCAAAGGTTATTGAATTTTAATTAATCACAATTTTCTTTTTGTTTTCTGGAAGACCTTGCAAGTGCTGAATCAAACACAATAAGAACAGAAACATCTATAAAGAAAGCAAACAGGGTACATTTTGATTTCAAGTCATCTTCATCTAGCAGATTCATCTCTCATGTGTCTTACCCAGCTCTCAAACTTCTTGTAGTGTTAAGTATTCATTCGCTTAGCTGCGTCTCACACAAGAGTGTGACTAATGAACTATTATGACAACGAGCGGCTAAATTATCCATGGTGTTCTGGGCAGACCTGCCAAGTGCCAGCTGTCAGGTTCCTCTAACAATAATCCCTCACCAGCACATACAATGAGAGACTGCCAATCATGCTGGTGCCACACAACACACAGCAGCCTTTTTTCCCAAAGACATCTATTTTTGCTTGTCCCTCCACTGAGTCACAATCCTATATTTTGACTTCAGGCTACACACGGAGAGGTTGGCACATGCCACGAGGATCTCAAAGGTGTGTAAAGTGGAGCATCTAATAGTTTATTCTTAAAAACGGGCAGATGGGAGAATCTAGGACTGGTGCGCGTTGATCAAAAGAAAGCGTCGAGTTCATTTTTCATCAAAGGCTGCTTTCAGATTCCGAGTTGAGAACATTTTCCACCATTTTCCATGTGCTACGGACAGAAATAAAACCGTGAGCGATAAAAACCAAGGTTGGCACAGCAGGTGTGCAACATAGATGGATTTTTTTGTAGCCGCGTCCAATTAAAGATGCGTTTCTAGTTGAAAGCAAATGTCTGGGTAATATTAGGTGACCATTGCACACAGCTGCGGAATGGAGCATGGTGGTCTCATGCCAGCAGAATCGATTTATCATATGCTTTGCGTTTATAACTTCTAACCCATTTATCCTGCGAGTAATACTGTCAAATATGCCACCTGCATAATGTAAAACTGTAGCCTGGTAGCTTTGTTTATGCATACCTGAGCGTAACCATTTTAATTGCACCAGTCATCAGATGTGTCCAAAAATGCTTAGTGAACTCGCTGCTTTGGGGTAATTTGAAACCGCAATGACAGATTTCCACTCTCGACAAGGCAATTTTCGGTTTCCTTGATGCATGGGCCTATTTTAACAGTGCATTTCACAACACGGCGCTGACAGACCCAATCTGATTAAATGATCTCAATGTGTGCACCTGCAAGTATGATTTCAGCTGGAATGCTTGACCGTTAGTCTGCATCACAGCAGCGGTGAGATTAATGATGTGCTGCAGACAGCTGTAGACGAGCAGACAAAAAAGAACGAGGCTGGCTCACGATATCCTATGGTAAAACTTTTTAAAACTGTTTATATGCAAAAGACAATGGTTCGCACACAACTGGCTGCTTTTAAACAGTCTACATATAGGCTACACACACGCAAATGTATTATTATTTTTCAATTAATATACATTTTAGCTATTTCATATTTAAAATGAGATCTTTTGTACATATTTTTAATTTAAAATAAAAAGTAAAACTATTTTCATATAAACACCTTTTGTACAAAATCTCAATGACAGGCTATATGGAATATCTTCCATTGTATGACAACAAAAAATTGAACAGAAAATGTATAATCCATTAAAATGAGGGTGAAACGAGAGATTTTTATTATTTTTATTAATATTTTTCAATTCACTTTCAATTTGTAAAGAAATTCATATTGTGTATACTGTATGTGTGTGTGTTTGTGATTTTTTTCAAAAATATAAAATATTCTATTAAATTATTTAAATTAAATGATTGAAAATGAATTAAAAAGAAAATATAATTAAAAATAATAATTCAAATATACAATAATTTTTACATTTTTTTATTAATATTTTCATTTTGCAAAAAATGGCAATGTTACAAGTGTGTGTGTGTGTGTGTGTGTTGCAGACCGGGGATGGACACTGAGTGGACGAATGGAAAATATTCCATATAGCCTGTCATTGAGATTATATATGTGTGTGTGTGTGTGTGTGTGTGATTTTTTTTCTTTCAGAAATATCAAATATTCTATTTAATGATTTAAATGAAATGTTATTTAAAGATTTTAATAAAAAATACAATTAAAATTGTATGTATATATATATATATATATATATATATACACACACACACACATTTTAATATTCATGCCAGACTGGGGAGAGAGGTGTTGTAATAATGTAAAATATGTGAAAAATAATGTGTTTTTCGAACAACCTAGTATGAGAGCCTGTTCTAGTACACCCCCAAAACAACTTTGTAAAAGAGCATAATAGGACCCCTTTAAATGAAAATCCCAACAATGAAGTTTCCATCAAAATACTATTTATGATAAATAGTATTTTGATGGAAACTTCATTTTTGGGATAACAACAATTTATCCATAATAAAATAATAAAATAAAGTGAGAACTCTGTCAAACAGTTAAAGAAGCTGTGGTAAATGTTTAAACATGGTAAACGTGGTAAAAGGTTGCTTACAGTCCTTGTACTGGATCTCAAGAGACGCCATAATATACATAACATCACAGTTTACATCAATCAACCTTTATTTGTTTGATGGTTAATATTCAACATTTACAAATAAAAACTTTAGTTGCAACATTCAGAGTTATGAACTGGTTACATTTTCATATAAACACCTTTTGTACAAAATCTGTAACACAGGCTATATGGAAAACTTTCATCCCATCGTATGATATAAAGTACAACTTTACAAGTTCAAAAAATTGAACAGAAAGAGTATAATCCATAAAAAGGAGGGTGAAAGGAAAGAACAGGACAGGAGAAATACAGGCATGACTAGAGTTGAATTCCTACGACTTGACCATTGGCAATCTATCGAAATTACAAAACGTGACTGCCGAAAATGAGCAACTCTCATAACATGGCAATATGAGAACATAGCTGCAAAGCCGTTAATAAAATAGGTAACAAACGAATCTGTTACGGTGCCCATCTTTAAGCATTTAATTCCAACGTTAGTTCGATTCTTCACACTTCAAATATTTTAGGTTGCCAAAAAATACAGCACTTTGAACTTTGTATTTATCTACAAAAATGCAATAATAGAATAAAATCACAGGGGATATTTTTTGCCAAGAACAATTTTTATCAAGTACAGACCATTTCAATTGTCTATACATGATCAATAATGTAAATGGACAGCCGAGATTCACAAAGGCTGCTGTGTTTTGAAGTTGCATTTTAACGACTATCAAATATTTATTATCCAATATTTATTAAAAGAACTGTGGGCTTTTAAGCTGGCAGTGAAAAAGCTGTTTGTTACTCTCAATTTTACATCAATATGCGGAAAGTTTTCTTTCGTAGGAAGGGATGTAGCAACACACTCACATGGCAATTTTTGTATTTTACGTTTTGACAAATTGGTGGCTAATTGGTATGATTTCGTACGATTTGCTTACGCTCAGTTATGTTCAGGCGTGGACCTTCATGCTTACTTTTTACGAAAAAATATATATTCAGGCATGGACCTTCATGCTTACTTTTTACGAAGAACATACGATTTCATAAGATTCACATCGTATGAATTCTAACGAAATCGCCACTTTGTAATATAGTTAGGTTTTCCTGTGAGATCGGGTAGGTATTTTCTTTGAAATGAAACTTCGTAAATGTCTAAAATCAGCTGTTTTGTTGAAAACTTGACCACATTGGCTTTGTTAGCAAGAAAAACAAATATTTTAATGTTGTTAGTATGTTCCATGGTAAAAAATTAAATTAAAAAATACACATAAAATGAGAAAATACTTTTTAAATGGAAATGCGATGTAAAAAAAATTCAACTTTTTTTTTTTAGAAGAAGAAAATAAATTCTGAAAGAAAAGGTAAAACAATATAAATGAACATCAATTCCACACAGCATTTCCTAAACTTTGTTTATCGTCTACAACCTAGAGTCCAAATAAGATCCCAAATTGAATTTCTGACCATAATGCGAAAAGTTCATACAGATTTAACATTCAAAGGAGAAAGAAAAACAGATTTGATCTAGCCAATATTTTTTGGAAGTGACTTCGGCGACACAACCTGATTTGGGATCAGGCTGCTGGGAAAAGTCATCTCAGAACTATGTTTCTATCGCTCTCTGCAAACTACAATGGTTATATTGCTTTGTACTGCTCATGCCTCATGCAGTCTTGAGCTACGCATCTGCACACGGTTTAAGAAGCACATTGTTGAGCACTAGCGGCCACGCTAACTTCAGTTAAGCTTTCCTAACTACTCTCACTGACAAAGAAGTTAATACTGTTTGCATCTTTGGCACAATACTCGGAGACCACACAATTTCATCACATTGGCACATTTAAACGGTCAGGCAGTTTCGGTAGATACGAGGCTACATTAGAAGAAAACCAAACACTAAGAAATATGTAGCACCTTTTAGCCATTCCAGAAAGTACAAAGCGGTTAAAACGGGACGCAGGTCTAGCTGTACGCCTCGGTTTGTGTAAGACCAAAAAAAAAAAACTGCTGTAGTGTGGAAATAAAAGCTGTACAACACTGATTTTGTACTTCTATCAAAAATACCTTGCTAGCAATATGTTTCAGAGCACTCTAAATGGGATATGGACCTGCCAGATCTTCAGATTTTGCTGTAAATTACATGCCATTTCAAAGCGTACATAATCTCTTCGTGGCTTTTCTAGTATATTTCATTTCTAGCCGTAACTGCATATCAGAAGGACTGCGCCGAGATGTTCATCGGTGAAGAACAATTTTGAGCTGCGCTCTAGACTGGGTCTAAAGAGCCGATCCACTAAATAGTCACTAAACCATCAAATATGCAGCTTTAAAATGAAATTGAGATGATCTACTTAATATCAACGAACAAAAAAGGAAAACATTCATCATGGGAGCATTCCGTTTCACTTTCATTTAGATTTTAGAATACAAATCGCTAAATTAAAAATCAAAATGTATGGAGGACTGAGAGTGGCATAAATAAATCTTTTGTCAATAAATAAAAAAAGATCATGAAATTTGTGTCAATAAATACATAGTCCAAAGTCCAATAAATGTACTCATGTATTAACATTATTTAATAAATTAAAACAATTACATTATTTTATAAATTAAATTACCTATTTGATAAATAAATACAATTATAAAATATTATATATAAAATGTAAACAAATAAATCAATAAAGCATGAATGAAATGTGTCAAATAAATAAATAAATTATATTTTGCAAAAGACTTTGATGTATTAACATTTATCTATTTATTGACACAATATTTGAAATGTGAATAAAAATGAATGAAATGTGTCAATACATAAATAACTTTTAAATTATGTTTTGTATCGGACTATGATAGATTTATTAACATTTATTTATTTACTTAATTGACACCTCTTGATTTATTTATTGGCACATACTTATTGAAAAATTGTTATACGATTTTAATTATTTATAAATAATAGTATAAATAAAGCATGAAATGTGTCAATAAATGAATGACTTACATTTTTGCTTTTGGACTTTGACATATTTATTGACATTTTTTATTTATTTATTGACATATTCATACTAATTTAGTAAGATTAGTAAGATTTGAAAGATTTATTTATATGCCACTCCCTATCCTCCACAAAAAATGCACCTCCTTGCATTTGAAAACATTGCCAATTATGATACATAACCTACAGTTATTTTACAGTAAACGGCTGCAAAAAATGCGACGTAGTCCAAGTTACCGCTGACGCGCTACAGCTGAGAGACCTTCCTGGGTGTGGGCCGGTGACGGGGCTCCGAATTAATGCGCTGCACGCGGTTCAGCTGAGGTTTGCCGGTCAGGCTGGGGTTGTCGGTAGTCATTTTCTATTTTTAACTGTTTTAAATTAATTTTAAATCTTAATAATAAAAATAAATGTATAAGTTTTTAAATTCCTTGTTTTATTGTTGTGATTATTTTTTGTATGATTATTTTTTGTATGATTATTTTGATTTCCTTTTATGTAAAGCACTTTGAATTTCCATTGTGTATGAAATGTGCTATATAAACAAACTTGCCTTGCCTTTGTTTTTTAACAAATTATATATATATAATATACTGTGTATATATACATATACATACATACATACGCGGCTTGATGACCATGGGAAAACATGGGTCCCAAGGCCAAACCAGTTAAGAACCACTGCAGTAAATTATATATACTGTAATAATATATGACAATGAAATTGCATATTTTTTATATTATATAATGCATAGTAATTATTAAAAAAATATTTTCAGTATTTATTTCTGCTGGTGTAATGTGAGCAGGAAAAAACAATACAATTAATACATTATATTTAATAATATTTATAAATATATATATATACAGAACCAACATATACCAAATTTTTTGGGCCAGCAGAATTTTTTTGTAAAGAAATTACTATTATTCAGTAATGATGTTAACGGCACATTAAATTGATCAGAAGTGAGAAAGATTTTAAGATAAATGCTATTCTTTTGAATTTTTTCTATTCATCAAAGAATCCTGAAAAAAGTGTATCACAGTTTCCACAAAAATATTAAGTAGCACCTATTGATGGTAATAATAAGAAATGTTGCAGCAAATCAGCATATTATAATATTTCTGAAGGATCATGGGACACTGAAGACTGGAATAATGATGCTTTGCCATCACAGGAAAAAAATATTAAAATATTTTAAAATAGAAAACAGCTTTTTGTAATGATATTTCATAATGTTACAGTTTTTCTGTATTTTTGATCAAATAAAAACTGCCTTGGTGAGCGTAACAGTCTTCTTTCATTAACATAAAAAATACTTAACCAAAACTTTTGAATGGTGGTGTACATAAACATATTTTTAAAAAATATATGAAAAAATTAGTGCTGTCAAAGGATTAATCACGATTAATCACATCCAACATAAAAGTTTTTTGTTTACATAATATATGTGTGTGCACTGTATATATTTATTATGTGTATATATAAATACAAACACATGCATGTATATATTTAAGAAAAATATGTTATGTTTATATATTAAATATATTTATGTATAATATAAAATATAAATATATAAATGTATATACATGTAAATATTAAAAATATATATACTGTGTGTGCATTTATATATACATAATAAATATACACACTACACATACATATATTATGTAAACAAAAACTTTTATTTTGGATGCGATTAATCACGATTAATCGTTTGACAGCACTAAAAAAAATTAAATGTTTCTAAACAATACAGTATATGAGATGTTGTTAGGTGGTTACTAAGGTGTTCTGGGTGATCATTTAATCAAATCAAAGAGCCCACTTTTTAAACTTAAAAAAAAATATTATGGTCTCTCATTCAATGTAAGTTTATGAAAATTTGAAATATCATAATCAACTCTTAGTGGATAAAAACGAAGCCCCACCCTACATTATTTCCCACTGAATATTCAGTTTGACATGTAATTGTTAAAGAGTGGTGGTGGAGCCGCTCTGACCTGTGTGGGGTCCAGTGGGCTGGGGAAAATGCCGCTGCAGAGTCTGTCCCGTGGAGAGAGGCAGGCGTTGTCTCTGGAGTGCTTGTGCTTGTCAGACGGCAGTGGAGAAGCTAATGAAGAGGAATAAAGGCACGTAGTGTGAGAGTTGAACAGATAGGAAATAACAGAGGAAATGAGGCAATGCTGCAAAATGATGCCAATTATGTTGTGGGGCGTTGTAAGTACTGCTTGCTTTTGAGTGCCGGATTGCTTATAGTCTATTGAATTCACTCACCTCTATTGCTGGAGGGCGCAGAGCTGTTCACATTCTGTGAGCCAGAGTGATTTGAGCTCAGACTTGAGGTAGACGGACTGGGCTAGAAATAGACAACATATATATATTTTTTTTGTATTTTTTATGAAGCAATTAAGCTAAGATACATAAAAAAAATGACCATATAAATTATCATAATATAAATAACGTGTTATTTATATAAATAATGCTTTTGTATATAATTGTGTACAAATTCATATATAATTATACAATTTATTAAAATAATTATAATTTTAAAGGGTTGAGTAACTGATTTTTTTTTTGTCTGCTAGTTTATTCAAAAATATATTCAAAATGAAATACTTAAATACATGTAATGTTGTGACTCAAAAACATAATGATATTTATGTATCCTTTAATAATTCATTATTTTTGTAAAAAAAAAAAAACATTTAAAATTTTTTTTGGAAAAAAAAAATTATTATGATGTATACGCACACGCTTTCAAGGAAAAACGTTTTAAAAATTACAATATATATACAGTGTATAAATTATCATTAAAAAATAACCTAACATGTTATTTATAAATGTATAAATTATATAAATACATTTATTATATATTAGTGGTTCAACGGATCACAAATCTCACGGTTCGGATCACATTACGGTTTTTGACCCACGGATCGGATCATTTTTCGGATCAGCAAGAAAAGAAAAATATTTCAATTTAACTTGCTTTCCATTTATTACTTAAAGCGAAGTACTTCTTTGATACCACAGCAAATACTACTAGATTAACTAAGAAAGTTTAAACATGAGAGACAAGAGAACAGCCAGTAAAAATAAGAACAAATACACAATATATATGTAATATATATATATATATATGTTATATATAATTACATAATTACAACTGTATCAAAATAATTATATATAATTTTAAAACTGTTGGATGTCACCAATGATATTATTTATTCTGCGCTGCATTTTCTGAAGCAAAAGAATGAGTTTTGCACTTTTTATTTAAACTTAAGGTGACAGCTAACAGCACTGAACAGACAAATTCATCCTAAATAAATAAAATAAATAAATAAAAAATGTAATTATTTCATTAAATTAATAGAATGGTTGTCTGAATCTGACAGTTAATAGCGTTTCCTTTTAGTAACTTTTTAGTTCCCTAACATTGAGTGTATCTTTGAATTTCTCACTTGCATGTTGAAGACCTCATCCGAGCTCTCTGATTGGCCGGTGATGTTGCTCACTTCATTTGAGGCCTGTGATGACAGTGAGGATGAGGAATATCTGTTGACAGCTGGATAGCTGAGAGGACTGAAAGGGAATTGAAAGACACAAGAGAGAGACAGGATAAATTTAGCAAACGTGTGGGTGCGTTCAAGCTGCCAATCTGTCAAACCTGATCCAGAACATAAGCATTCCTAAATAGCATCTACTTGGCTGAGATTTCAATTGAGTTCAACTTTTTAAACTACAAAACTTTGTTTTTTTTATCTCTGACCTTAAAGCATTTCAGCATATATTTCAAGAATGCACACAAGAAACATTTTTAACATGGCATTAAGATGACACAAACCTGCGTCTTGCCACGATTCGGCCTCCCTCTGGGCTGATGGCATTAGGTACGGGGGTCCTGCATGTGCGCGGGCTGCCATTTGCAAAATGCAGAGGACTAACTCGCACATAAGCGGGAAACTCTTGTGGCTAAACAAAAAAATATTACCTGTTATAGAAAGTGTTTCATCAAATTGCTTGTTAAAATTAACACAGTTTTTAAAGGTCACATATGTAATTTCAATGCCTCTATTGGCACTAAGCAAAATTAACTTTTTAAACAGGTTTCTCAAACATTCATCTGCTATTGGTCAGACAAATCTGTGGCCCCGCCCCAAACTCATGCCACTGGTTAAGCCAATGTTACTATGGCCAACTGGTCGGGATTTCTGATTGGCTGTCAATGTTTTTATTGTTCATCAACGGGAACTGTTCTGAGAGTGATTCGAACGTTATCGTTGGATAATGTTTATAAAGATTTAAATATGGATATTTTTGTATATTTTTCTTACACAAATCAGTGCTTCGCTTTAGAAGGCCTTTATTAAGCACTTTTTATGATGGATGGATGCACTTTATTGGACTTCAAAATCTCGACCACCATTTACTGCCATTATAACGCTTAGAAGAACCAGGATATTTTTTAATATAACTCCGATTGTATTGGTCTGAAAGAAGAAAGTCATATACACCGATGATGCCTTGAGGGCGAGTAAATCATGGGGTTATTTTCATTTTTGGGTGAACTTTCCCTTTAAAGTTGCATATTAAATTGGGATATGCATTTTAACGTCTAAAAATGTACACAATTCCACTTTAAGACCAGTGAATATGTATCTATATGTGTAAAAGTAAACATACTTGAATCCCCAGACTGGAGCGCATTACATGAAACTGGTCGACAAGCTTTTTATGTAACGGCTTCATATCCTGTGGAACGAACTTCTCGTGCACGGCTAAACCAAATTCCAGAATATGGGCCTGCAAAAAGGCAGAGAGAAAATTGTATTATTCTTAGAACAAAATAAATATTTATTTAAACAATACAAAATAGGAAAATGTCTAGAAATGTACTTTTTGTATAAATGTTGGCTTAATTTTGTTTTTAAAAAACTTTTTATAGAATTTTCAAGAAATGTTTACATTTAATAGCTTTAAAAGTATCATGTTTTGCAACCATCAAGTAAAAGGTAATAGCATTTTCTTAAAAAAAAAACGTTTAAATATTTTTCAAAGTAAAAGTTTTTTAACAAATATAATGAATTGTTAATACACAAATATCATTATATTTTAAAGGCACATTATCAGATGTATTAAAGTAATTATATGAATAGCATTTTTAATATACATTTTTAAATATATATTTAAAAATATATTTTAAATAAACAGACAAAAAAAATGAGTGTCACATCACTGACCCAAATAATTATTGTTTTTGTACCTGTTCAAACATCAGTTCCCTAAGACGAGTAATTTTCTCTCCATCCTCTGGATGATTTGCCATGTAATCTTTCGCAAAGAATGCCTGCGTGAGGAAGTACATAAAGAGACGCATGAATCATTTGTACTCAGGCTACTTTTTAAGAAAAGAAGAGTTAATAAATAAACTCATACAGTGTGAAATTCAGTGCATGTCTCACAGGCATTTCAACGCTGTAAACTAACCTGAACTCCTACTCATTTCTTAGAAACTATGATGCAACATTACAAAGACGCTAGGGAACGTTTCCACGACTCTCGTTTAATATATCATGCTAACTGTCATATGTAAGTGACATGGATTTTGATCCAGCTTTCATAGCCCAGTGACTAGACCTGGAGCCCTGTGCTCTGTGGTAAACTCATCATCTGTGCAGTGAGGTGCATGCTGGGATTCAGGAGGACCCCTGCCGTTAGCTCTTCTCTTTTAATAGAGTTAGCTAAAGCTCACGCTCACAAAAGGCCAGTGCTCAACATGCTGTTGCTTGGCAACTGTCAGAGATACCCGCAGAAAACGGTCCTATGAAGTGTGAGGATGTGGGCTAGTCATTAAACATCCAGCGAATGCGCTTTTGAGGGTTTCACTGAAAACAACTAGAAACCGGTCTTTCATCCTGCTAAAAGGAAGAAGGTAAAACTGGAGTCAGTGCGCTCAGACCAATAAATCACTTTACAGACAATTTATGTTGTCAAGGCTATGAGACATCAACAGAGTCAAAACATTTCGATCACAACAGTTCAAAGATTTTAATATTTTGACTGCCTCGTGTCTCGTGTCAAACGACATAAAACTATTTTTTTATATAAATGACATCAAAAACTCAGAGGATGTATTTGTAATTGATATATATGTAAACTTTTTTTGTGTAATAGTTTTTTTGTGTAATAGTGATTGAACACAAAATAATATTTTGCATTTGTATTCAATTAAGTGTAAATAACAATTAAGAGTAAATAACAGCAGCATCGCCACAAATTTGAACTAATCAGTCGCCTAAAATATAAACTAAAATTATAATTTAAAAAAAAATCAGATTTCCCACGTTTTACATAAATTATAGTCATAGTATTATATAATAATTTAGCAAAATAATACAATATAATATTCAGATAATCAGTTTTTCTGCTATACATTATTAGATAAATATTGCACTTATATTGCAATAAAATAAAATAAAAAATAGTATATAAAATAAAATAAACTTTAGTGTAGCTACTTATTATTAGCAGCTCAAGACCAAGATCATGTGACAACAATAAAGTCAAGGCATTTGGATCACAAGAGTTCAAAGATTTCAATTTTTCAATATTTATTTTGTCAACATAAACATTTTCTCATTGCTACTAACTTGAACTAACCAGTTGCCTAAAATATTGACTATGATTAAAATTACTTATTTTACTGGAAATAAAAATCTACATTTATTTATAGTCACACTATTATACAATAATTTTACAAAATAATACTTATAATAGTTATAAAATTAATCAAATATTTACTTAAATGTTCATTAGTATGTTTTTGACTATATGGTAGCATTGCTGTAGTTAAAGTTCTGTATGTTGAAACTCTAGCTTCTCAAACTACAAACTGCTTGAATATACAAGCCTCGGGTCCATATCAATACCATTGGTCTTTATCAGCTTTGCACATTTTCCCACTCCAATTTTCCCCATTCTTTTTTGCAGTACTCTACATTTTTGTAGAGTTTTAAGGCAGTGAAATAACAAGCAACCCAAAGTCCACCTCCAATCTAACAGAAGCAGATTGACCCTGCTCTCCATCCAGTCCCGTACCTCCTGGTATCGAGCCAGTCCTCCATTGACAGCGGCATCGATGACTCCGTTCAGGCACATGGTGAGAGGGTTGATGTTCAGCATCTGCCTCATCTGACACTGGGCGATCAGCGTCCTCAACTGCAGCGTCTTATTTTCAATCACCTCACTGGCGTTCTCCAAGGGAGTCATCTCCACCTGTATTGAAAGCACACTGAGGTTATAATGTCTCTGTTTATGTTTATATGATTGTTTTGATGGTGGATGTGCAGTCTTGGGGGCAGTTACTTTAAATTCATGACATTGGCGAAGTGCTTGAAAAACCCTC